GTGCTTATGGTGTTTTTTTGGATTGTAAATATGGTAAATAATATTTGGAAATTTGTATTGGGATTTTAGCCTCATCTTTTCTCTTTAACTTTTTAATGATAATAACTACTTATGTTTATCTTAGAAACATTTATATCTGGATAAGAAGGAAAGTTTAAGTCACATATAAATCTATCACCTGTTACTATTTTGCATTATATTTGCATCATTTCCTTCGAGAAGGCTTTCATTGTTCAGTCTTCCAGAATGGATTAGGGCCCCCTCCACCAACTCCACATTTTCCTCTCTCTCCATCGTACCAGTTTGGTAAGTACAGCTATGTAGTCGATTGTTAGTAAAGATTTACTTGTCTCTTTTCTGAAAACTCCATGAGGGAAGGGACCGATTTGGTCAAGTTTTCTACTATCTCCAGGGCATACAGCCAATGGTTATTTGTTCATAGCCTAACTCCTTCGTTGTAAGATAGTAGTCAGCTGTGTTCCTGAAGAGTCCTGTGTAAGCTCCTTGCAAGTCAGATAAGGAAGTCACTGAAGTAATCCTATAAAGGGCAGGGAAGAGGGAAAGCACTTTAATAACATAAAATCGACAAATTTGACGCCTTGAATATTTTCAGAAGCAGAGTCCTTGGATGTACCTATGGCAGATATGAATGAGAGAGGGAAAGAGAAAAGGAGGGGTAGGAATGACCCACCCATTTAGATGGGTACCTTAAGAGTAAAATTATGTTATGAGAACTCAAATAGTGTTTTCTAATTATAGACTCTTAAACTTAAAATATCTTGAAAGGTCACTCTGTACCTCCCTCTGCCTAATACAGACTGCATTCAAAATATCCCAGAAATAGGAGTCAATTTTTTTTTTTTTAAGGCTAGAGAGAAAAGTTGAACAACAGATTAAAAAACCCCATGCCTTGCAACCTCTGCTTTTGATAGTTTTTCTGTTAGGTCTTCCACAAAGAAATGACTGGCAATCTAGTCCTTTCCTTAATGATACAAAGGTATTACTATTAAATCCAAACTCCTAAAATCCTTAGAGTAAAAGTCATAAGAAATAAGAAGATCACACTGGGTATCACACTAGTGAAATATATAATTACTTAACTTTATGAAATGCTTTCAGATCTTCTGCAATAAAAGAAAATAACCCCTTTGTACTTTAATACTGAAAGTGAGAAACTGTTTAACCTTATTAGTAAGCAAAGAAACCCAAGTCAAAGTGAGATGTCATCCTTTCACATATTAAATTGGCTATAAAAACAAAAACCAGGGACAGCCCGGATGGCTCAGCGGTTACGCCGCCTTCAGCCCAGGGCCTGATCCTGGAGACCTGGGATCGAGCCTCACATTAGGCTGCCTGCATGGAGCCTGCTTCTCCCTCTGCCTCTCTCTCTCTCTCTCTCTCTCTCTCTCTTACTCTCTCTCTCTCTTTGTGTCTCTCATGAATAAATAAATTAAAAAAAAAACAAATCCTCATGCTCCTCTCCAGGACTATCATAAAATACATTTCTTATATTTTACAAACACCCTAAGAACGTGAACAAAGCTCTGAGCCTCTAACACTGCCGGTAACAGTAAAAAGCTGGAAATAACTAGGTGTCTAACAGGATCTAATCCTTTAGATTGCTTAAATACACTGTGGTAGATGGACACAATGGAATACTGAAATACTTCCTTACTCTGTTTAGTGGGGAGTGATAAGAGATTCATTATACCCCCAAGAGTATAAAACAGTAGTATGTCTGGCTTTAACAACACTTCACAAGTATTAAAATGAAAATATATGGCAATATTTGATTAACAATTCAAAGACTAACACTGAAGATAAATTCTTAAATAATTAGCCTTAAGAACAACATACTTTGCCTGATGGAATGAAAAAGTTGACAAGTCTCTGGGACGTCATCTTATTCATAGGACTTGTGGAATAGCCAGGGAAGTTCAGTGGCACCCTGTTTTCTAAGTATAGGACAGGAATATCTGAAGCAACAAAAGATCCTTTTCTAAAGTCTGTTCGCTAATAACTAGTCTTTTTTTTAAAGATTTTATTTATTTATTCATAGAGACACACAGAGAGAGAGAGAGAGGCAGAGACACAGGCAGAGGGAGAAGCAGGCTCCATGCAGGGAGCCCGACACGGGACTCGATCCAGGGTCTCCAGGATCACACCCTGGGCTGCAGGCGGCGCTAAACCGCTGCGCCCCCAGGGCTACCCAATAACTAGTCTTTAAAATAAAAATCCATCTCTTTTCCAATTTATATATTTTTAAATATTTTATTTATTTATTCGAGGGAGAGAGAGAGAGAGGCAGAGGCAGAGACACAGGCAGAGGGAGAAGCAGGCTCCATGCAGGGACCCCAGGATCACACCCTGGGCTGCAGGCGGCGCTAAACCGCTGGGCCACCCGGGATGCCCTATATTCTACATTCCAACTTACATCACAATAAAACGTGCCTTAACCATACTGGCCTTTGTCATTTGGAAAATCTCCATGTTTTACTGCCAGGTAGAGCCTGAGATGACTATGACAGAAGGAATATTCTTTTAAATTGTTTAATCCCCTGAGATGATTATGGCTGTTCTTTGCCAGACAATGACTCTGAAGTCCATTAGACATAGATGCTTCTAGGGAGAGTTGCTTTCAATGCATCAGGTTACTCAGGTCCATCTCCTGATGCTGGAGAATTTGTCTTACAAATCTGGAGCTGTCTCCTCCTCAGCTCTTATCAGAAGCATGGCTGAAGGAAATGCAAATACAGGAAAAATTTCTGGTGCAGTTGTATCCCTGAAATGAGCCAGGCAATCATAGTTGCTTATTTGTATCATATTGCCTTGGCTTCCTACCAAAGAAACTCTAGAGAGTTATGCTTTGGAATCTATTGAGGGACACGCTGAAAAACCAGCCTATGACATCGCAAGATGGACCACCTGGTCTGAGCTATTGCTTATGGCCCGCCTCCTGTGCACAGACTTGCTGCAAGCGTATTTCTAGAGCTAAGTGTCAAGAAAAGCTTTTTTCCCCTGGGGAACAAAACATAGTTCCCCACTCTTCTTTCTCCCAACATGTAGGGATATGGAGATACCTGTCTCTCGCTAAGTTTAGAAAATCTTGTTTCTTCTTTTGCTTTACCTTGTATAAAGTAAGTGAGCTAAATATGCAGCCAGCTCAGTGCCAGTTTTTGTCACATTGTAAGCCTTAGGACATTCTATTACCCCTTGTCTTTCTCTGTTTTTGTTATTTTAACAGTAGTGCACAATATGCCAGGTGCTGTTACTGAACTCTTTGTACATATTAATCTCTTCAATCCCCTTCAAGAGCCCACAGAGTTAGTACTATTGTTATCCTCATATCTAGATGAAGAGACTGAGGCACAGAGAAGTTGGGTATCATGGCTGGAGTCACACAAGTGCTGAGAGTGAAGTTCGGTTTCAGAGCCCTTGTTCATAAACCACCCCCACCTCCCAGCTATGCTGCCTTAGCAGTGATTCCCTAAGCAGAGCAGGCGGGACAATTTTATTTTGTAAGTTATATCATTTACATGAAGTTATGCAGGGTACATATATTTCAAATTAAAATCCATCATGAACTTCTGTGATATTTTTTTTAATGGGTCTTTTCTTAACATGACACACAAGGATGTGTGCATAGAGCTTTTGGAGTAGTTAGGATGAATTTGCATTCTACCATCCCCCCCTTTCCCATTCTTTTTTTTTGACGAGGGGACACATTCTAAGTTTGACTAGAAAGGTACCATGTTAGCTATTGAAAAAAAAATCTGTAAACTGGGGCGCCTGGGGGGCTCAGGTGGTTAAGCATCTGCCTTCGGCTCAGGTTATGATTCCAGAGTCCTGGGATCAAGTCCTACATCAGGCTCCCTGCTCAATGGGGAGTATGCTTCTCCTTCTCCCTCTGCCCCTTCCTCCCCGAGCTCATGTTCTCTCTTTCTCACTTGCTCTCTCTCAAATAATTAAAATCTTTTTTTAAAAAATATATAAGCTGAATATATTATTATACTATCATTAATAGCAAGTTATAAATAGTTAAAGTCTGAAAAAATCCATTAAAAAATTGCAGCAGCTGTATGTATTTCAAAGAGAATCCTCCAGCATTGTCTTAGGAACCAACAGAGTGTACACCTCCTAGCAGCATGGAGGTCCTCTGCGCTATGTGTGGGCAGTCCCTCCACCTGGCCTGCAAAGCTCTCAGCACCCCAGCCTCTCTCCTCTGCTTAGCTTCTCTGCTCCTCTGATCAGAGTGCTTTTAGCAGTGCCTGCCTTTCCATTCTTCAAACCTGCCTGGTTCATTCCTGCCTCAGGACTTTTGAAACAGCTGCCCCTTTGGCCTGCGATGTTCTTCTTCCCTGGTTTCCCACCCCGACCCCCCATATCCCCTACTATTATTGTCCTAAATAGCATCCCCTCAGCATCCCTGACCACTTGCACTACATGAGCCACACCAGCCTTGCTCTGATTCTGATTGACCTCTCTGGGTGGCATTTCTCACAGTCTTCATATTTATCTGCCTGTTTGTTTCTGCATTAGAATGTGAGCATCGGGGCAGCCCCGGTGGTGCAGCGGTTTAGTGCCGCCTGCAGCTCAGGGTATGATCCTGGAGACCCGGGATCAAGTCCCACATCAGGCTACTTGCATGGAGCCTGCTTCTCCCTTTGCCTGTGTCTCTGCCTCTGTCTCTCTGTGTGTATCTCTCATGAATAAATAAATAAAATATTTAAAAAAATAGAATGTGAGCATCATGAGAGAGGGGGATCTGCTCCACCTCTGAACGGGGTCTGGTGCATATTAAGTAAATGGCAGTGGAATGAATGGCTGAGTTGCTTTTCTTCTCTCCAAATGCTGGTACCTGGTAGAGTCAGTGTTTTCCTGGTGACTCCTCCAGGAGGACAGTATTAGCTCTTCATTTCACCTCTATCCCCAGAAAACCAACAAAACATAACAACAAAGCATCTTTCTTATTGGACCTCTTGCTTTTTTCATTTTTTTAGAGCTGTCATCCTCTGCCCCATCTGACTTCACAGAAAAGATCTGCTTCAAGACGGGGTGTCAACTGCTACGAGAACCAAGGTGGGGTTCGGCAAGCTGCCATCTGCAAACAGTAGGTTCACTGCTTCCTGGTGCTAGGTCATAAGCATGATTTGCATCAGCTAACTGGTTACCTACCAGTTGTCCTGCAACTTCTCTGCTATCTTCCCTTTCCAGTTAAGACATTCAATTAATCTTTTAACTGAGTATTTCCTTAGACGAGTCTTAGATTTCATGTTGATCCAGGTGAGTGGATGTTTCCTCACTCATTGGATTGTTGCCTTAAATGACTAAGAACTAGAAGTGATACCAAAACCTCCTAACCTCTTCACATTACTGCCAAAAGGCAGTCCTGGGAACTGCCTCACCCAGGCATTAAGAAAAGTTGGTGGCACTACAAATCTTCAAAGAAACATCTGTCCACTATGCACCTCTTTGGCCACATTACTGAAATGGTTACTAGCAAAGTTATTTGGTTTTTAGTTATTTAAACCAAGGTTAAAAGGTTGTGGTAGTTAAACCCATTCCGTGCCCACTGAGGAGGAAGTTTTCTCTTTTAGGATTGATATTGTGCAATTCATTTCATTGCCTAGACTAGTTTGAATTTGATTTGAAGGATAATTTTATTCTTAAATAAAAAGAGATGTTACTTTTTTTTTTTAAGATTTATTCATTTATTTTGGAAGGTGGGGGAGTAACAGAGGGAAAGAGAAACTTAAGCAGACTCTGTGCTGAGTGTGGAGCTCCATACGGAACTCTGTCTCATGATTCTGAGATCATGACCTGAGCCGAAACCAAGGGTCTGAGGCTTAACCAACCTCACCACCCAGGCACCCCAGCAGTTACATTTTTAATGTAAAATATTTTTTCTTCTATTCAGCTTATGGGCACCTAATGAAAGTGTGGTGTTTGCCTAAAAAGACTTCAGCCCTAAGATGGACTCCAGGGTCTTGTAATCCCAAGTTAATTAAAAATAATTTTTTATGAATATTTAAGAGTCATTGTTCAGCACAACATTCTATAACTTGTTTGTCTTCTATAAAATTCAAAATAATTCTAGGAATGTTGCTAGGATTAAAATGCCTATATAGAGCCAATACTAGGAATGACAACAATTTCTGAATATTTGACCCCCATGATATCTCCCTCTTTGTCTGGTAGTGTCTGTTCCATTGAAACTGGATGAAGAAAAGAACTCATTTATTCAACAAATACTTACTGAGCAATTTCTTCGTGCCAGGCGCTCTGTTCAGTGTTGTGAATAAGGCAGTGAACAAAACAAAATCCCTGCTTTCAGAAATGGAGCTTTTAAGAAGCTCCGAAATTTCCTCAGCAGATGAATGGGGAAAGGGAGGCATAGAGAACCTTATTCACTGCCAGGTGTCCGGGGGAAACCCCCTTCAAGATGACAGGCAGACAGGATGAAAAGGAAAGAGTGGAAATCCGATCTGGAAAGTAAGATAAAGCAATCTTACGCTCTAGTGTAACCACTGCAGAAATACAGAAGCCTATTAAAATGAAACACACATGCAAAAAGGGGTAGGTTGATATAACCTAGACTTAGTAAAGTAACAAGCATCACTTTTCAAGCATGTCATTCAGGTTCACAGATACTGCCCAAATTCTGCCTCCACACCACCCTCTCCCAGCCTCTGTTATCAATGTCTGATGCATCCTTCCAGAGTTTCTCTGTACACAATTTATATTCATATTTGCTCTTTTCATAAAGTAGAATATAGTGAACTATACTTCTGTACAATGTATGTTTTTCTCCTAACGTATGTAGGAGGGTTTAACAAATCGGTGCTAAGAGAGCTTCCTCATTCTTTTTTTTTTTCCCCTCAACAGTTACAGAGTAGTCCATTGTATGGATGTACCACAATTTAAATAGTGACCTATTGATGGATATTTGGGTTGTAGCCAGTCCTTTGCTCTTAAACAATGCCGCAATAAATAACTTTGTATATATGTTATTCTGCATATACACAATTATATGTGTATAAATTTGCAGAGCAGAATGGCAGGTCATAACATGTATGTATACTTTTGGTAAGATATCTTGTCAAATTGCCTCCCAGAGGGAGTTTTTCTTATTTGCATCTCTGCTGGAAACTTGTGAGGGTAGCTGTTATCTGGATCTGAATTTTATCACCAATCTGGTAGGCTAAGTGGTTCTGAGAGTAGTTTCAATTTAGGAACACTATTTGTTCAGAATTTTCAGTGGTATTTTATAAAAGACAATGTTCAGAAAAGTAAATAGGACTAGAATTCAGGTTTTTTTTTTTTAATTGTACAACAGGCCATCTTAAACCTTCTATTATGTGATTAAAGACCATGGTTGCTGCCCACATTAAAATCCTACATGTTGGGGATCCCTGGGTGGCGCAGCGGTTTGGCGCCTGCCTTTGGCCCAGGGCGTGATCCTGGAGACCCGGGATCGAATCCCACGTCGGGCTTCCGGTGCATGGAGCCTGCTTCTCCCTCTGCCTGTGTCTCTGCCTCTCTCTCTCTCTGTGACTATCATAAATAAATAAAAATTAAAAAAAAAATTAAAAAAATGCTACATGTTAAATACTGATATAATATATATATATATATATATATATATATATATATATATATATATATATATATATGATAAGAGTGCTTCTCAGGCTCATGATGTACCTAGGTGACCTGCTAAAAGTAAGACCTTTCTTCTATGATTTGGCTTTATATTGCTAATTGAAATAGGACAGCATACACATATGAGTTAACAAAGCAGGCCTGAGACTGCTCTCCTTAGAAAGGCCTGCTTGCAACCTTGGGTCTTGGCTGGCATCTGGGAACTTAGATTTGAGGGGAGTTCCCACCATTCACATGTTGGCATGGCTTGCTGTGCCTAAACTGTGCAAACAAGACAGTTTCTGTTGAATACCTGCTTGCATTCCAGGAGTATGGAATTTGAGTACATGCCCAACAGCAGGTTTCTGTGTGACCAGCCCCAAGGAATCTTTAGACGCTGAGTCACTAATGTGCTTCCCTGGTAGACAGTATTTCACAGGTGCTGTCACAACTCAGTGCTGGGAAATGAAGCACAACTTATGTGATTTCCGTGGGAGAAGACCTTTGGAAGCTTGTTCCTGATCGCCTCTCAAATTTATCCCATGTGCCTTTTGCTTTGCTGATTTTGTATCCTCTTGCTGTAACCAATTATAGCCATGAGTAGGACTATAGGCAGGGTCCTACGAGTCCTCCTAGTGAATCATTGAACCGGGAGTGGCCTTGGACCCTGATTCAATTAGCTTTGCAAAGATTTTAATATTCTAACTCAACAAGTATTAGTGGTAAGTGACATATTTTTAGAATGCAGTTAAGTAACCTTTTGGCATTATATTTTGACTTGTAGTCTGTGTTCTGTTGTAAAATATATAATTCCTCAGATTTCTGGACAGTGATTTAGCATTTACATCTAACAAATAGAGGCGGCAAGAAGGCTGCTGGATAGTGGAGGGCTTTATGATTAATCGTGAATCCACAACAGGTTCTTTGGTCCTCTCAATGTCTCTATTTAGGCCCAAATGCTTTTTGAGCCTATAATCTGAGTATTAGATAAGTGGACTTACTGCAATTTCTTTAGACTCATGGCCATAGAAGTTTAGTTAGGCAGTCTGATTTCAGCTATGCCCTGATTCTGAAGCTTACCTGCAAATAGTCCTAGGAACTTCACTTAGGACAGCAGATCTTTGTCGAAATGGGACATAAGACCCCACTATTGAAATAAAGCTTATTTTTAAATCAATGTATTATGTTAGCATCCCATTTTAAACGTTTAAGTATTCAAATGGAAAACTGGATTAAATGTTAAACACAAAGATTTGTGTAAGCTACTTTCCCTAAAGAAATCAGATGGCTTCTAAAGAAAAGTGTTTATATGGTTTAAAAATATAAAATGTAGTCTAAAGCAATGGTTCTTAATGCTTGCAGTTGGTTGACTGGCATATTTGTGATGATAATGACTAAGATTGAATAACATTATGGCAGCTGCTGTTCTTACTGGTTCATATATAGAGTCTCACTCATTTATATAGCAACCTTATGAAGTAACTACTGTTCAGTCCATTTTGAGATGTAGGGGGTTTCAGGACTTGCCCAAAGTTAAGTATTGGTAGAACTTGAGAGAGTGAATTTGAATCCTCTGTGTTCACCAGCTGAATGCTTTAACCACTCTGCTTTCCTGGGTCACATAGTAACATCTCAGTGGTGCTACACGACATAGGTTACATAAAGAACCTTGTACATTTACCCTTGGGTATAGGGATGACATGATCATTTTCTGTTGAGTGTAAGAAATGCTCATCTCCTTGGTTTCTAAGTGTGCGGAGTCTTCAGTGGAATCCTTACAAAATACAAAACTGAGCATGTCACTCCCTGATCCCATTATCTTGGGGGCAAAATCCAAATATAATAAAAAGGTAGGTTCTTTAAGAGCCTACCTTTCTCCATTTCAGCCAAGCTGACTTTCCTTCTGTTCCCATACATACAAACCACATTCTCCTTTGTTGCTTAAAACCTATGCACATACTATTTCTCTGGCTTAAATAACCCCACCCCATCCCACCTCCTACCTTGCCTGACTCCTCTTCACTTTTCAGATAGGACTTGAGAGGCCCTTTCTTCTAGAAAGTTTCACCTGACCTTCCCGAACTAAGGGGTATACCTTTACAGTGTGTTTCTAGAATCTTGATTTTTAACTCTCCAAACGTTTATCTCCCTGTGTTATAGTTACTTTTTTCCCCAAACTAAATCCCAAGCTCTGGGGGGACAGGGACAAGGTCTGTCTTGGTTCACCTGACCACAACAAATGTTCTTCCTTTAAGATTTTATTTATTTATTTGAGACACACAGAGAGGCAGAGGCATAGGCTCTCCTGTGGGGAGCCCTATGTGGGAACTCAATCCTAGGACCCCAGGATCATTCCCTGAGTCAAAAGGCAGGCTCTCAACTGCTGAACCACCCATGCACCCTGAATGTTCTTCTTTTGTGACTGAAACTTGCATGAAGCAGATGGTCAGCAACAAATTCATGAACTTA